AAGGAGGAACTGAAGGAAAATAAACATGAAAATGTGAGGCTGAAGGAAGAAGATGTGCCTGGGGCAATTTTACCTCGAGAAAAACTAGAAGAATGCATCGTGAAACAGCTTCAGATATGGCTTCTTTTCCGTAGAGCCAAAACAACTGGAAAGAAAACGCAGCTCGTACAAGAGGGTCTCAGTTGGGTTAACCGATAGGCGTAAAACGGCCAAAAATTTAATCGATAGCCGTAGAAATTGAGAAAATTTTAACCGTTAGTCGTAATTAGGATAAAAAGAGTTAACCGTAAAAAACATTTGCGTCCTAGATTTCTTAATTTCAATAAGGAACGTGCTAAACTCACTTATGACCGGTGACGTTTTATATTTGGTGGCTACTTTGACTTTGACCGTGCGTTCGCGTGTCTGCTTTTGCTTTTTCACGACCCTCCATGTAAACAGGCCTTTAGTTTGGGTGTGGTGCGCATAGGTATTTACCTGTTTTGATCTTGTGATTTTATTTATACCTGGTTTTTTGAAAACCGGGCTACTAAAAAATGTCAGTCTCTCGCACTGATTGTTAATTTGATGGCCCTTGTTACTTGAAAAGTAAAATCTCACCTCAAAAAGAAATATTGAATACATGAGCTTCCATTTGATAGAATCGTCTGTCTTGAAGGTAACAAAAGTGACGTTTTCCTCATTAATCTGGAAAATAAGGCATTTTAAGAATCAATTTTTAGTGTCGGTGTCACCGATTGCAAAGCCAATTCCCCAGTTCACCCCATTTTTAATTGAATTAAGCTGGTCTCCCAAAAACAATCTAAGCCAACACTGCTCAACAAAACCAAGTCCTAAAACCAGCAGTTCAACTGCTTGCTGACTAGGAACATTATGAACAGAGTGGGTCATTGCTTGCATGAAAACAGCACAAACAAACTGCATAAGAGTGCAAAAACACATCAAACTTTACAACAACCCCACTCCCCTGGAATTTAACCAGGCTACCCCAAATGCATACCAGACGATAGCCCCATGTCTGTGCAACAACATCGCACCCAGCCAGACACAACCCCCCCTTAATTTGAGGGAGAAACTGAGCTTTGAAAGACAGGGGTAGCCCCGGTACAAAAACTCAGTGAATCCGCACTCTAGCACAAAGCATAGTCTTTACAACAACCCCACCCCCCTGGAATTTAACCAGGCTACCCCAAATGCATACCAGATGATAGCCCCATGACTGTTCAACAACACGAGACTTAGTTTGACGGAAGCCCCCCTCAAAAAATATTAGCTGGGCCAACATTATGAACAGAGTGGGTCATTGCTTGCATGAAAACAGCACAAACAAACTGCATAAGAGTGCAAAAACACATCAAACTTTACAACAACCCCACCCCCCTGGAATTTAACCAGGCTACCCCAAATGCATACCAGATGATAGCCCCATGACTGTTCAACAACACGAGACTTAGTTTGACGGAAGCCCCCCTCAAAAAATATTAGCTGGGCCAACGGGGGCAACAGCCCGTCCCTACGGGACGGGCTGTTGGCCCCCTCGTGCAGATTTTCTGGAATTTGCACTGATTTCTGTCAATTCCAGGAAGTTATTTGGAGCCCATGGTTAAGAGGTGAGGGTGGTTAGTCCTGAAGAGCGAGATTGTTATTTGTACACTAAAAGTATCAGGGCTTTAAGCAAATTAAGTGTTGAAAGATTGCCTGCAATGTGCTGGACTTGACTTAAAATTTCAGGCAACCCGGTTTTCAAAACTCCAGGTAGATTTGTAATTGAAGTTTTGCTTGGCTCGCGGATTTACTTAATGCCATTTTAGGAATATTGTTCGCTTGCTATTGTTCGATGTTAGTTTTTCATAGGTGGTCGCAAATTTCGGATTTTATCGATTTCAAAGTTTTTTGCTTATTGTTGTCATAGTGATATGGATTTAACTAAAAACTGCATTTTGACACACTTCAATTCATAGTCAACAAGAATCGCCGAAAGGCGATTTTTAACTGGGCTGCAAAGGGGCTATTTTTTTTGAAGGAGGGGGCGGCTATACGCACTCAGGCTACCATAAAACCTTGTCGGCAACCATTGCATGCGACAGAATCTCATGTGAGACTGAAACATAAACTCATTCACAACATTGTACCCTTTTGAAAGACTTTCGTAACCAAAAAAAAAGAGAACCATTTTTAAGTGGGGGCTGTATAATAAGTTTTAAATTCCACCATTATGAATAAAAATAAACAAATTATCCATTAATTCAAAGCAGGAAACAATTTGCATTATTTCCACGTACCCCTCCCCCAATCCCTCTGTGCCCCAAAATATAGCGTGACAGTATAACGTGACTAATTTGACGTAACTGGAAAATTCCAAAATTGTTGTCGTTCTACGAGCATAAAATGCGACAGACTGAGCTGATTTACACTAGACAGAAATATTGTATTGTATGAAAACCAGAAGTATACTAAAATAGACAGTTAACTGCCCATTGATCCCGCCTGATCCAGGGGCCTCACTGACTGCACGGAGACTTTACTGCGCTTTTCACAAACATGCGAACTCTAAAGTTCAAAAGCCACCTTCACAATTGTATTTATCGCTGCCGTCAATCATAATTACGATCACAAGCAACGAACCAAGAAACAGAGAAACACACAAAACGGATCGAAATCCACAAATCACAAACCATGACCTTTTGAACGGATGTTACTAAAACGGGGAACGGGGAGCGGGGAGCGGGGAACGGGGAACGGAAGTCTGGGAACGAGTTGTCAGCGGAAACCTCCATAAAAATCCAAAATGGCCGGTAAGCATCAAGGACCCGGTAAGATCGATGATAGAGAAGCGTCGAAACAACACTTAAGGTCGCTATTTTACTAATGAACTATATGCTCATGAGGTGCTTGAAATAATACGGAGGTAATAATGTCATGACATTTTTCACCTTTTTGCGTTGTACTAAACAACAAAATATGCTCCAACAGCAGTTGAAAGAAGCTACAGTCGGGACAAAAACTCTCAAAGCACAGCCATATTTGGAACTCAAGCGAATCTATACTGGGTCTAACTCACAAAGCAATGAACTACTTTTCCTTGACGCTTTTCGTAGGGTTTTGGCTTAAATACATGCTGAAAGATAACGTAGATCGAAGCAGCCAGGTGTATTTCCTCGACAGTAATAGTGTAGCAGTGGAGCTCCTTCTTAGCTGTAGCGTTTTTTCAAGCCCAAATTAAAACATGTTGGCGATGAGATAAAACTGTAAGTCTAATAATATTATATTTACAAACCTATGATGAGAAGTAAGTGCAATTGTATTATTTGAAAAGATAAGATGGATCAGGTTATTTAATACATCAATAAAAGGCAACTTTAAACATATTAACGGGGAATGTGCCAGGAACATCAATCATACCTTGGTCTTAAAGATATCAGTTGTTTCAAAGCAAATGGCTATGTTGTGGTTTTATTTAATTATAACCTAGGGTTAAATTTTGCTTCCCTTTGTTTGGGGGTACGGTAATATGAATTTTATGATTATGAGTTCAAAACAAAGAGAATAAAATTCAAACTTAGGATAAAAGTGAACCACAACTGAGCTGCAATATTAAGTGTTGCAAGTATACGTGGGGGAAGTACTTTGAAGTCTTTGGTTGGAAGGTACTTTCTAAAGGCTAGCTGTTCAAATATGCATGGTAAGTATACTTCCTCTGTTTAGCCCTCTGGATGCTTATTTTTTTTCTAGGGGCACTCCTTTAATGTTTTTGCAGAGGGGAGCTCTGCTTCTCTTTAATGAACATTATTTTTACTGTGGAGAAAAATATTTCAAGCTCAGTGTAAAACTGAATGTGTCAGTGACTTAAACCAGTTAATATTGTCAAGCTGCTTTATTAGCTTGATTCAGTAATATTGCAGTGCACCTACCATCAAGCATCACATCATCAATGTTGCAGAGGCTGGCAGCTTATTAGAAGGTGGTTGATAAGCCTTCAAGCAAGCTGTCTGTAGTTTTGGAAATAAAGAGTCTAAGGTCTCACACAAGTGATGGGAGGCAAAAGATTGGAGTGCCGATATGTTCTTCAGTAAACACGCGCAACTGTATGTGTATAGTTTCCACATTACGCTTACTCAATGCATGTAAAATAACACAATAGATCTTGCTACCCATTTTCCCTGATTTTATTTCCCCTCCAGGGGACATAATTTCTTTTAACATATCGGGTTTTCAAAAAAGGGGCAAGAAGCTTTTAAATGAATTTTAATTCATTTAATGAAGCACAGTATCAAAGAAATTAAAGAGAAGAATCAGACTAGAGTAACAGTATCCCAGAGGGAAGGGGGGGTACTCACCAAAGAGGCTCTGCCCCAGGGACCAACCCTTTACCCCTTATATGTACCATTTTAGACAGAAAAGGTACCCCTTTTGTATACCCTCTAGTGACAAATGGTACCCCTTTCACATACCTAATTTTGAACGCTGCATCCCTTTTTAACTGCTGTAAATACACCATCTTTACAAAAACAGGTTTTCTTGTCTCTCACATCCATAAAATGCATCTGTGACTGATCTCATTTTGGTCCCTTTCATATACTTCAACTATAAAAACCCTTCCCTTTCATGTACCTGAAGCCTGAAAAAGGCTTCAGGCTCTGTTTAGGTCATTATAGTACCCCCTCCTCCTGCACCGAGAACAGTACTTGATACAGCGATATTGTATGGTATAAATTGCACCAAACGTTTCGTGCCCATGAAGAGGTACTTTGATTATTTTACGACAATTTTCTTCAAAAGGAGGGGTTTGGGATCTCATTCTTAGGGGGCGGGGGTTAATTGAGGATCTGCAGTGAGGGAGAATGTTGCATTCAATGCCATCCAATGGTTTTGATTCAGGAAAACTAGGGTCGTCAGGGTATTTCGCAGAAAGACAAATGGCCACTGTACGACTTTGAAGCAGTTACTGATTAGGGTGAGGAAAATGAGTGAATTAGGTTCCATTAGGGTCATTATACTGGTCTATACTGGGCAAACTGACCTGAAACAAATTGTTTCACAAAATAATAAAATGATATTATTTTATTTTCATGGATCAGTGAAACACTTCAATATCATGAATGCTTGCAGTGTAGTAGATCTAATAATATTAAAAGCAGAACCAGCTTGTTAAAGTAGTCTTACTAATTATGTGATGACGTGGTCAATAACATTTTTCAAAGCAGTCATCTCTATCAAAGGAAATAGAAGAAGTTTGCACACAAGCTACTTGACTACTTCGATGTATGTTATCTATCATGGAAAAGTAGTTAATTGCTTTGTGGGCTAGACTCAGTATAGATTCGCTGGAGTTCCAAATTATGGCTGTACATGTGCTTTGAGAGTTTTTGTCCCGATTGGCTTCTTTCAACTGCTGTTGGAGCACATTTTGTTTCCTACGGATAATTGTTTAGTAAAACGCAAAAAGGTGAAAAACGTCATGAAGTTATTACCTCCGTATTATTTCAAGCACCTCATGAGCATATAGTTCAAGTAAAGTAACGCCGTTATCGGTTAAGTTTGTTTCGACGGTTCTCTATCATCGATCATCGGCCATATTGGATTTTTATGGAGGTTTCCGCTGACAACTCGTTCCCAGACTTCCGTTCCCCGCTCCCCGCTCCCCGCTCCCCGTTCCCCGTTTTAGTAACATCCCCTTTTGAACCCGTGAAGTAAAGTTTTGTTTAATAAGAGGTCCGTTAAGATGATTGACAGCAGCGAAAAACGCAATCTGAAGCTTCTGAACTTCAGAATTCGCATGTTCGTGAAAAGTGCGATCCTAATTTGCGGTCCACAGTCTACAAGAAAACGCACTATTTTTTTCCACAAGATGAAAAATATTCAGTTTTAAGATTTTCCTCATGGTATTTTTCTCTAACTTAAAGTAATAAAATCCTTTGCATTTTGAGACCTAAAAAAGTTTACAGATTTCTCGCTCGCATGTTGCGTTCACCAGCACGCACTTCAAACAATGTAAATAGATGAAACGATCGATAACATATTTTTTACCTGATACCGATGCGAGTTAAAAATTCGCTCCAGTTCTGTTTGTCTCACCCAAGACGAACTTTTCTTCATAGAAGATAACTATGCCGCTTTATAACTCGTCTGAAGTTTTTGTGCTAGCTAAACAATATGGAAACACTATTCACAGTGACTCCTTGGATATTAAAAAGACTGAACGTGACGCACCATTATGACTTTGTTTACTTCTGATCACATCTTCAAGCGAAGTCTCTCTTTTCAAGCGATTCATCTCAATGCACAATAATTGACCCTTATATTAGTTAAAACCCTATGGTTCATTTATATTAATGCTGTTTTTGCCCCTCACATTGACTGTGTTCGTTCGTATTCAAAACACCTTTACGAAAATAAAGGTCGTATAAGTCATGTGTGTTATGTTTCGAGATAAATGGATTATACGCTTTTTTAAGTTTCCACTTTGCGGTGACTTCAGTTTACATCTCCATAAATGGTAAAAGAAATATCAAGAAACATCACGAGAGCTGAAAACTTTCAAAGGCATGTTTCTGAAACTCGCTAATGCTGACATCAATATGGCGTGCTTGCTGAATGGGCGAAAACACAGAATTGTGATCACAAGATCAGTTACAATTTTAATGATAAAAGCTTAGCAAGATACAAATACAAGCAAAAGCAAACCCCCTGAAACCTCGACGTGGGCTACACTTATATGCTCTACTCAGTCACCAAACCTTGTCAGTAATAGCTCCTATTTTCCTCAAGTCGCTCTCTGTGAAGCTCCCGGATGGGATGTCCCGGTGAAGCTTTAAACTTGTGTGCGAAATTCTCAGAGTCCCTATCTTTGTCCGTGTCTTCTTTATCCTCAGTATCCGAAATTTAGACCTCCAAAGTGGCGTGTGTTGCATTAAATAGAAGGAAATATTTAAAGGAAAAGCCAGTCTTCTAACATGGCAAAGTTGTCATGTCCCTCGCTCATGGACGTGCGTAGTGCCATTCATCGGCAACTGAGTTATTCGCTTCACTGACTACGAAGGCTTACAATCAAGTCTTCAGCCATAGTGTCGTCAACTGGTGAAATACCTTGCTCATAAATTGTGCTTCTTAATTACTCATGTACTACATCGATCGATAATTCTCTCTTTGAGTTCACGAAGCGGCCACGACGTTCCAAACCTGACGCTTACATCACACTACATCTTTTAGTGTGAACCTACCGTGAACGGCGTGTCGGTTTGAATGCAGCGCGAGCATTTCTCTGAGTTTCCCAGCGCCAACATCATCTAACTGACTTAAACTCAAACAATAAAAAAATTATAAAGTGACTCTCGAATCGCTTCTAACAACGCAAATAGCCTTCTTCAGGTTCGCAACGCCTTGTGGGTTTTTCAGGGGGAGCGGAGACGAGGTACAAAAAGTATCCGTGCAAGGGTCCGTGCAAGAGAAAATCATATAAAACCATTTATGAGAACGTCGTTTCTTGGTACCAGACCCTCGTGTTTTCCCTTCCCCGGCCGCGGATGACCGTTTTTTGACACCGACGACCGAAAACCGAATTTATGACTGGGCCGCACAGGCAGCCCAGTAATCACTTGTGAAAATTTTGTAGCAATCGGACAAGGATAAAATCACTTTTAAGACGATTGAAAAACATCAGTATGGTGTCCAAAAAGACTGTATCGAAAAGCTGGAAAATGCCCAGGAACGCCCCTGTTTAGTAAATACTAAAACAATTATTCACCTCGGTGTCGGTGGCTATCGCGGCTCGGTAAACGTTACCACTAGCCACCTCCACTGTTATATATTAGATTGGGTACAGAACTAGCAGTAGACGTTGGCTAGGAAGTGCGGGCGAACATGTCGTTTTACCCTGGAGATGTGATTGATGAGAACCGCTTTCATAGTTGTGTAGGTGAATCAGAGGAAGCCCTGGCTTTTAGTTCTAGTGTCAACAAAGGGAATCACTGACAGTAAACAATACTTATATTTAATTAAACAGTTCACAGTTGCAGGTATAATTGGCCTGCGAATGGTGAGAGGCAGGAGGACGGAAGGCTGTATTCGCAGGTAAAAGATTCAACAAAAAAGTAATGCGTGACACAAGTAATCATGACTGTTGTATGCACGAAGTCTTATTATTCAATCGAATATTTAATATTTGTTCAACACTCGTATCTTAACGAAAACTCGTCTCGCATTACGCTGTGATCAGGCTCTACTTTGATTTTCCTCGGGTAAGTAGATTCCCGGCAGCTAAGGCGAATCGAAAAGTCTCACATTTAGGGCAGTATCGATACTGTACTTGTGTACTTGTGACAAGAAGCCGACAAATCGGGAATTTCTGTTTGGGAGAGAAAGTCGACGTTTCGGCGAAGAAAGTCGATGGTAAGCTCTTCACATTTTTTGGGATTAAGCTATATGTTATTACTACATGCAAACGCCTGAATGTCCGGCTGTATGGCTCATAGGTACAATTTCCATGGCTGTTAGATCATCCACAAATTGTTACCCTTGGAGCCCAATTCGGAAGGGGATCGTTTACAAAAGACCACGAAGGGGATAGGGCCCAATCTCGTTCCCCGTGGGATACCGCCGTTAATGTGCTCAGATGCGGACGAAGATGACTCCAAACGGAAAACTGAGATCTACCCTGTTAAAAACGGGCAACTTAGGAAACCAAGCAACAGTGTACGTTGAAATTAAGTAATTTCTGCAAGCGAATCTTGTGTTAGATCAAATCAAATCCCTTGCGGAAGTCAACAAACCCTAAAATCAAATTTTATTTTTGTCAATATAATAACAACAACAACAACAACAACAATAATAATAATAATACTAATAGACGAATTTTTGAAAAAATTCGTCAAAAAAGGCCCAGAATGTTTGCATAGAAACCTGGCGATAACCAGCCAGGCATGAAGAGAGTCACCCGAGGAGACTTATGGCTAAGAGCTGAATTCCTATCACCCAATCTTGTTTTAATCATCACGTCACAATCTATCTATTTATACTGTCTCCAATTACCTTTGATCTTAAACAGAATGCACTCAGACTCATTTGCTTGCAACCCAAGCCACCAGCTTCAACCTGCTTGCAAGGGTAACTCTTGCATGGGCTATCCTCCCTTTTTTCAAACAGGCTCTTAGATCCCGCGAAAATTAGCAGCAATAAGGTAAATTTACATCTTTACTATTTTATGGTACTTTTCTCAGTCTATAATTTTAAATAACACTCTGATGGCATCTGACTAGTGTACAAGAGTACAAGAGTCCCTTTATGTTTCTAAACGCAAAAAACGTATACGATTACGATCCCTGTCTTGACGAGAATGATGTGGACAAACGGGTTTTTGTCGTAAACGATCTGCAGAGTGAACAAAAACGTTTGTACACGGATTTAAGGGGACATGGGCTAAAGCAATGTAGGTACAAGTCCAGGATGGTCCAGCTTCTTTACGCCCGTTGCTCCTTGCTTCTGCTAATAAATTGATATCTCCTCCTGCATAGCTACTAGCTTTATGTCTCCCTCTATCTTCTTCTTCAACCTTTTTTCTCTTTTCACTTTTAAAATTGCACGAGCGCAGCAAATCACAAACACAACAACAACAACTCCCGAGGCGGAACCACCAGTGATGATAAGAATCATCTTAAGATTGTCTACGGAAAAAATCACACAAAACAAGGGTATAGTTAAACAAGATGAATCACTTTCATAGCGGTGACTCAACTATTGCGAGCAACTGTCCAAAAGTCATTCAGGATAACAACGTCACCTTGAGACGCAAAGCGACCGATTCGACGACAATAGTAATGTGGAAAAGTTGATTTGCACACACCATAACGTGCGCGTTCATGACAACACAGTCTCCCAAACTGTAAAGAAGCCCATTTGCACCGTTGAATTTTTTCTAAATACTTCGCGCGAAATGATTGGTCGTTACTCATGATCTGTCTGAGTAAATACACACGAATGACTTCACAGAAAAATTGTATTCTCTGCTTTCTCGAAAGTAGCGTACAGTTTACAAGATGTTTGCATTACTCCCCGGGGGGTACTGCCATATGTGGGCTATATAGGTATGTGCCGCTGTGAAGGGTATGCCGGTTTTCAAGCAGTTTACTCTAGGATAGGGTATATAAACCAGAGCGTTTGGGTCTAGAACAGGGTATCATTTTTCAGGAAACTGATCAGTTGGTTGAAGATTTTATCTAGACTGGTGATTGTGGTATAAGGTTTTGTTTTGACTAGACTGTGCTAGTGACCTCACTAGTTTCTGGAAAACAGCTACTCTAGGATAGGGGGGATTTGGGGAGTTTACTCTAGTATAGGGTAGCAAAATTCAGCTGAACTAGCTCTGGTATAGGTCAAGGGTTCCAGGGTCCCAGCGGCGCATCCCCACCCAGAAATTCCTAAAGTAACCCCCACCCCCCCGGGCATTACTAATTATTTTTACTGAATTAAGAAAGCAGAGGCTGCCACGAAATTTGCTCTTGGCGACGTCAAAACATCCGTCGACCAGCTGCAACAAATCGAGTTGTACTTTTCTGTTCATTGTATGAAGCAAAGAAAAAAAAAAGGCGATTTGTTCGTTCAGTCACAGATCAGAGAAAATGGCGTCAAAATGAGGTAAGCACATCAATGGCACAGGCCGATCACCACACTTTGACGTCACTTGCTGTCTTTCAGTGAACAGTCGTAGGATAAGATAGAATCGTTTACTTGAATGGAAGCCTTTTTGGGGTTTGCTACACATTTAAGAAGGTAATGCCGTTTCTTTACTGCTAAGCAAATTTCCTCTGCGTACCCATAACTTAGTTGTCGCCGCTAAGCCGTCTATCGTCTGTTAAAAAAAATGGTAATTGATTGTGTTTTAAAACATTTGTTCCCTTGACCTAACTGTAGTATCGATCGAATTGGTCATGTTCCAAATAGAAAACAACAAGAAGTTTAGCCTACCAGTTTATGAAGATGGCTGTGTTGTTGTAGTAGGCAAAGTGTGGCTTGAATATGTTGCAGGTTTAACCTTCAGAGAAATCGTCGGAACATGTGGGTTCTTTGATAAGGGATCCTTCTCTGTTCCGTACAGAATTAGCGACCAGCTGTAAAGAATACCTTAAACAGACAATTTAAAACAAGACGGTAGTCAGAAAAATATTATTAAATGAAGTCACTGGGAGAAATCCTCATTTATAAACCAGAGTTTCATTATCCATTTAAATTACGCTTTAGATAGTTGGTTTTAACAGAAGCGAAATTCTCTTAAAGGAGCCTCTTGATAATGACGAAAACACCTAAGAATACTGTCTGTACAATTCTTGCCAAGTTACTGACAGCAGCGTCGAAGTAACTAGTAAGCATGTTTCTCCACTCCACGGCGGTTTGTTCACAACTTCCACCCGAGTTTCAGGGCCTCTGGATTATTCTAGCCGAAATTGAATTTCCCCAGAAATTTCAACTCGCTATATAATCTAGTTAGTATAGGTAATAGCATGATTTGTAGTGATATTTGGCATAAATACCACGAGTGATATTTCAAAATTGTTACACGTAAATTCCCGAGCCGTTAGGCGAGTGAAATTTGAGACAATCTTGAAACATCACTAGTGGTATTTATGCCAAATATCACGTCCAAATCATGCTATTATTTGTTTATACTACTACCTGCAAAGGTTTTGTAATTTTCACATGTAGGTATTTCAAATTAAACTGAAATACCACTGCTCTAAGCCAATCAAATTGCAGAAATTTCTCATGTAGTAGTATAAACTGAGGTAAACGCCGCTCGGTTAGGGAGTAGCAGTCGTTGTCGCTTTCATTATGCGCCATGCCGCACCGAGCGAGGGAAGCGGAAAAGAGCCGCCAGTGCTTCTTTCACCTCACGCACTGGCAGCGCGTCTTCCGTCCTTCCCTCGCTTGGGTAAAAGGAAACGGAAATGACTGGTACGCAGTCTGTCCAATTCATTGACCCCAGGCTTTTGAATGAGCGGGAGGCTCGGATTCAAATCCTAGCCAGACCACAACCAGGGACTTTCAAAAACCTTGTTTTAAGGTCATGTATCACTTACACTTTGTAAAATAGTCTATTTATTAGGCGGCAACGTTGAGCCGTTGGCCTTGACACCTTAATCTTCCTTTCAATAGAACCCAGGCAGTCAGTATGGAAATGCATTGTCAAATCCCGTAACCATTCAAAGTGGCGTGCTTCAGGGGAGTATTCTTGGGGCTGGTGTTATTTACGCTATAAATTGATGATTTACTATCTTGCATTCTATTTCAGTTCTCCAGTACAATGATGTATGCTGACAACAGCCTACTTAACTTTTTTAGAGCGATACGAAGGGCTTGAAAAATGACTACATAACAGTGTTATTTTAAATATGGATAAAATATTTGGCCTTTTATGTTCATAATTATGATAGCAAAATGACACATTTACTGACTTAGTGTTCAACCTAGGCGGCGTTTTTGCGTCACGGACGCGGAATATTCTATTCTACCCTGACGCTAAATGAAATTATCTTGGAGTCATATAGCCTACAGTGCAGGCGTTTTTTAGCGGAAACTCAGACGTACATTGATCGCGGCCGCCATCTTGAAAAGCAAAGGAAAAGGCCAACCTCTCCCTTAAAATCAGTTATTGACTCGCCCCCACTCTCTGGTAGTATTAACGTCCAAGATGGCAGGAAAACGTTATTCCCGAAAAAAATAATGGATCGTGCTGCAAAATACGCCTACTTTGCAGGCTAGGAGTCATACTGACCCCCAAGAAACCTTGTGTGTAAATACTGAAAATCATGAAGAAGGGCTGGATAAGAAAGTAGATGCTGGAGAAGTCAGTTCGATAAGTCAACATCCAGAACTTCAAGAGCCAACTGCCTCAAGCCCAACAAGTAACACAGTGATACAACTGTGTTTGGGTGATGTCAGTTGTTAAAAGTTTCAATAGCATAATTTGACCCAGACCACCCAATTTAAAATGCCATGTGGGACATATGACCCACTTTGACTAATTTCTAGATTGAACACTATGACAGTTTCCCGCTAATGCTGTTTATTTGCACCCTTGTGGTGTCATTTGTGTCGTCCCTAGCACTACATAAGCGTAAACAAACAATATTACCTTAACAAGTCATTTTATTCCGTTACTACACTACAGCATGAAATTTCAAATGCCCACTCACCGGTTGTTTTGTAATTTTGGTCTAAATTTTCAATTCTGAGCTTCCACTGTCCTTCAGGACTTTCTCCCCAACTAAATAAAGTAGTGATATACCAGTTTGTCAGGTTTGTGTCTCTATATATATTGTCCTCTCTCCTCTGACGAGTCAATGGAGATATGGTTCCATTAGGCGCAATCAGCTCCAAATACAGGTCTCCGCGACGCTCAAAAACTAGATTTACTCTCACTTGAACGTGCTCCAGGAATTTTATTGTGCAATTGCCGACTGTCTCCGTAACCTCTGAAGGTATCACTCTGTAAAAAAGTGTTGTTAGAGAGATTTAGCGGCACATTTACGTTCAGCGGCAAACAGCAGCGATGACCACGTGAACATTTTTTTCAGCCATTCAGTAAGTTTGTCGCTTATGACGTGAAGGTGTGTTTCATTCGAAAGGTAGCGCCATAGGATTTCCTCAAAATGGAAAAACCTCTCATCACGTGGTCTGGGAGCAAAAGAGTTAAAGGGTATTAGGGTATCTTGGGGGCTGGCGAGTAATTTTTTTAACGGTTAATTCTTGTACTCCTCTTAAAATATGGTGTCCATTTTAGTAATGGTTAGGTTTGAAAAAGTTGAAAGAAGAGATTAAGGACAAAGTCAACTAGAAAGGGCGAAGAAAGTTAACGGATTTATCTTTGATTTTTTTAGCGGTGGTAAATTGAATTTACTAACAAACAACAGTTTGGAGTTTGTTGTTATTCTTCCATCGCTGTCGGATACAGTAACGATATAATGCTGCTAGGTATCACTGTAATTTTTATTTTATTCTCAGTTTACGAGCGGAAGAAATTCTCAAAATCCTGCAGTCTGATTGGTTTTGGAAGCGGGCGGTTTCATTTCTTATGACGTTTTCTTCTAACCTTTGCGGCTTCATTCAAAAGTTGTTTGTTGTTTGTGAATGAGCAAAATCAGTGATTTTAAATTATTTGTCTTTAAAAGTTACGTTCTTATGAGTACTAGCTAGAAAAATTTAATTTCATTATCCAAACAAAATATGTTAAGAGAGAATCAAGGTAATCCAACCGTGGAAAACCGAATGAGTAACACAAAATGGGCGGCTCGTAATGTCACTTAACCAGCTATAACCTACGCAATAAGTACTGCAATCTTGCTTTTACGGCACTGCCTATTCGACATTTGTGCTCTGTTTGTAGTCCCGTTTTCCACGTTTGCTGTCTGAAATGTTAAAGCTTTCAACACGAGAATTGACAACAGCAAGAACAAAAGAGCCTCCTAAACAGCAGCAATACCAGCAACAAAAATTTTTCTTAATTTTAACATTATTTAACAATTAGTCGCCGAAGGCGACGTGAGTATTCACTATTCACGTCGCCTGAGGCGGCTAAATGTTTTCGTATAATTACATTGATGATTATTCGAGGAAATAAAATTATTGACCAATTTCCGACTCCGAAACATCAACAAAACTGGCTGCCATTTTGATAACTGCTGGCCTTCAATGTTATAATCACCGCGCGATGATTATAATTACCAATGTAATTATACTGAAACTGATTAATCATATTTTCCCACCCGCAAATAACCTATATTAAAGTAGGAACTACTCGAGGCGGGGGGAAGAAAAGACATAGTTACAACACAAGGTTACAGTAGATGGACTAATCAACGATGAAGACTTTACAATACACTAAATAGCATAAACTAACGTAAAAAAAAAGTAAGTAAATGACGATGAGAGACTAAGATAATGTGTAAAACAACTTTATAGGGTGGGGGACTTCCATCATGACCATCTTCTGACCGCAGACATTTTATGGGTCCTAGAGAACTTTACATAAAAAGATTCGTTAGAGATAGATCTTTTTCTGTACTTACTGATCATCAGCAACAACAACGAACAAAATAAAAAAAAGTCCAAACCTGTTTTCATCCCTGCCCTTAATCTCACATCTCAGTTGTGAAGGCACTGTATACCATTGTTTTGCCAAGTGCACCATCATGCCACCATCCATAAGGCCGAAGCCAAAATATCTACTGAACCATAAACCAGCCTTGTTCTTTACCCAGAATCCGCTGGTGAGTGGAACTCCTTCTGGTGCGTGTCTCGCACTTCTTACTATAATGTGTTGTACGTCACGCCATGTAAGGGAGGGGCTTAAAAATAAAACACAATAGTTTAAATAGTAAGTAACTAACTTAGTTAGGAGCAGTCAGGCAGGCAGACAAGTAAGGAAGTAAGTAGTGCACTGCATAAAACTGCTCAGGATAAACTTTTTATTATACAAAAATAAAACAAGAAAAGGAACCTTAACTATAATTCTTCTCTTTTGAACTTTATTAAAATTCCACCCATGGAAAAATATTTTCATGTTGATCACGCAAGGAGGAATTCCGTTACGGTATATACAAACTTGGTAACGATATCATAAAGGTATGCAAAATCACATGATTTCTTTCACTGAAAATGAAATGTTGTTGTGTTAAGAATATCGCACTTGTGGATGTTTTGATAGGAAATCGACCGGAAAAATAACAATGACCCAAAATTCCGTGACCGTGCATGAGATAAGGAAAATTACTGTACGTGATATCTACATTCCGGTTGTTTAGGGAACAGTTTGTTCAAAAAATGCGAATGCGATGTACGGTCTATTTGTCATTACGGACCTCAAGTTATGAAATTTGAGCCTGCCATTATTCTGGGTCTTAAAATAACTGAGAAATGAAGGTACTCCCTTTGCACTGCAAGCGGCTTGACTTTTGCGCGGCTCGGATGAACGCGTAAAATGGCGGTCCCGTCTCAAGTAGGAGACGTAAAAGTAGCGTCCCCAATTAGCACTTTCGTGCTAAGTACATTGACACTCAAGTAAAGCGTCTTTTTTTTTCACAACCACCACTTCATTTCAGCAGACTGTAACTATACACTATCCCTTCATAACCGAATTAGCACTCCCAGACTCCCACAACTACCTCACAGAAATCAATTTTTACCTTCCAAAAAAATTTTGTTACTTCATATCAAGCAGTTCCACTGATTAACAAACTACAGCTATTATCTTACAATCCACGTCAAATATAACTCCACGCCTTCCACTTCACAGATCTCAACCAACCCATAAAATATAAAACCCTACTGCACTACTCACACATCCCTATGTACTTAAAAAACTTCACGTACGCGTCGTACAACGACGCCCAGATATACGCTGCCACAGCGTCTTGTTAAGTAACTGCGCAAGTAAGTAAGTAAGTTGGTAAGAGACTTAATTTAACGAGGGTGACGCGTGACAATAACTACAAAAACTGATAAGACTGTGAGCCTCTTAAAAAACAAAAATGCAATGATAAATAAACCTACAGCAGCAATAGCCTACACGTACAACCTACCAGGGTCATCTAAATCTTACACACCACCTTTTTATGTTCAGGAGTACACAAGAGCACCGTCAGTCTATTGAAAGAGTGGGTCCTGGTCGGGGGTAGGTACTCGGCAAAGTTTTAAGCGGGGAGGCTCCGCCAGAGTCCAACCTCGTAGTATCTTTTATAAACCATTTTTGACCACTCTCTATTGACAAATGGTACTTCTTTCAGATACCTAGTTTAGGCCTTTGCATCACTCTTAACTGCTGACACTGTCTTTAAGGTGGCTGAACACAGTTTTGCGGGCGGTCAGTGGTAACTCGCGTGACGGCGCGTGTGTTAAATTAGACAAACAAACATGGCCGCGGAAAAAGCAAAGGTACACAGAAGACGATTTCTCAAAATCTACTCATAAAGATTTTGTGATATTTGAAAGAATTTTTACTTTTATCGTAGTTTAAATAATGAGAACTTTAAAATGGAAGTTGAACAGAGGAATTTTGTGACACATTTAATATTTACAGTATAATTATATAATTATTGATTATCTAAAAAGCCGTCGGTAAAAGTTTAATCAAATAAGTTTCAAATGGTAATGATTAATTATACTAAACTGTGTGCAAGTTTATAGAAAAATGTAATGAGCGAATTTTGTGCAAACTGAGCAAAAGTGAAATTTTAAGGTTGTATTCAATCGTTCATGTTGCCGTGGAAACTACGAAAACGTCACATTTTACCTGTCAATCAAAATCTTTCATCAGTATATTTTTCACTTGCCAAGTTTCAGCTTGTGAACTCCACCCATTCTCTTGCCATGATTTGGCAAACGACATGTACCCACAAACTGCAAAACTGTGTTCAGCCACCTTAAAACATGAATAAATCTTAAACACCATACGTGTTCTCGACTTTTTCACAGCCATAAAATGCATCTGTAAGCCTTTTTGGACATTTTAAAAAAGACCGAAATGACTGATTTCCCTACTTTTTTGTAAGTCGACTAGTTAAATCCCTACATGTACCCTTTAATATACCTAAATTAAAGCCTGAAAAAGTTACTCCTTTCAGGCGGAGCCTTCTCGTATAGGCCACTATAGGGGGTAACCCCGCGGGTCCTTGTTGATCCACTTTCCTCACTCTGAGCCTATAATGTTACACGACAGAAGATCAAAAAACATTAAAATCATTAAGACTTACTTTGCTTCTAGTGTCAATGCAATAAGACCTGAAGCCATCGCTGTAGCCGCTGATGTTGCTCCGAAATTTTCAGTGCATCCTGATTTCTGATCAGCTGTAATCTGCGGAATAGGATAGTAATTTAGCTTACAAAAATATGTCTAGACTGTTTGTTCCCTGAATAATAACATGATGCTAATCTCCACAAAAAAGAAAAGGTCTAAGGGGGATGGGGGATGGGGCATTCCCTTGAAGGGCCTAAACGAGTATGTGCCGCTGAAAAAGTTATGGTTTTCGGGGTCTGGAGTGTTAAATAAGGTATACAATTTAACTGTTTAGCCTTTAAAAGAGTATGAAGGTTGGCGATGAGCGATCTACTTTTGTGGTAAGGGTCAGAGTTTTTGAAAGGACACTCTACCCAGACCTCCCTGGAGTGCCCTTACGGGCCTTGGGACCTGTTTCTCGAAAGGTCCGGAAACTTTTCGGGCCCGAAGGCAAATTTTAAAATCCAGACCCGTTGTCGTTAACAAACAGTTTCATTGTATCATTGTCAAAATTATTAAAACTTTGAACTTGAATGTAACTACGGCAAACACAACAGGACTTTTGAAAAACAGTCCCCTGACCCATATATTATAAGGCTCATTGCATTTCCTTTCCTGCAATATTATGTCCAGTGTGGTCTGCTTGTCATGACACCAGATATAAGGTGTAGAAGTGCTCTTCCTGGGGTTGAAACTAGACAGCTTCAACTACGGAATGTACATGGGTTGAAGGAATGGTCGATAACCGTTCTCAGCCGAGTCGCCGAATCGGAAATTAAGGGTTGGTGAGCATACCTGCTCACACGTCCTATTTACAACTTACACATGCCAGTAGAAAAGAAAGAAAGGCCTAGTGGAATCACGCCAGTACAACCACCGCCTGTCATACTGTTGGGTTAAAGTCATATCGTTATCCCTTATAGACAACAAGATACCGTAAAAAATGTTTTGTTGCACTATCAATCTGCAAGATATCACATATAACTTGAATGCTTTGAACAACTTTCGATAAAAACCTCCTGTTTGTTGCATTGATCGCTTTTCTCACTTCAGCAAACCAATCCCACCAGGCGTTCGACTGGTCGAACTAACAGCCCGGGGGGAGGGGGGACTCCGTATATGAAAGGGGAGGGGATGCTCATCGTCTCGCTTAGGGGTGTAAATTTCGGATTTTGGTCTCCGTAAAGGTCTCTTTTAGGGTTGCACTCGAAGAAATATTAAAAAATTATACATTTTCAATTCGTTTTATGTACTCGATTCATGTAATCAAAGTTTAACATTAAGGATAGGCCACGCCCAGATTGGTCTCCTTAAGAGGTTCAATTCAAAATTTCCGACGAGCATCCCCACCCCTTTCACATGCGGAGTCCCCCCCCCGGGACTAACAGTAACAGACGTACAAAATTGTGAAGAAGATAACGACGCCACGGGGGCTCAAAAAGCTGGTCGTTATCATATTAACGAAGTTGTAGAATAGGGGAAGACACATGGTTGTACTGATAATCTTTAAAAGGATGCTCTTATGGCGAGGCTCCGGTTTTCAGGTAGAAATGCAAAGAGCAAACCATATCCAAGTGATTTGACTACTTCACTTACAACTTTGCCGACTCCATTGAATAAGTCCCTGCTGTAAGTGTAAGCAGAGGCCATTATACCGGCACAGTCTTCTGCATAAAACGGTCTTGAGTCATCCGGGTTCACACCACTGATTGCAATAGTAAAAATACTATTAACATAACCGTTATAGGCACAGCTGTCACCAATTAAGCCGCCATTCCCAGTTGCAAAGGTGTAGATAGCACCCTTGCCCCTACGACCCTGAAATACAAACAAGGCATAATCTATTTCAGTTGCACAATGACTTTTAGTGCTATGCTGAAAACATCCAACGGATGACGTGACCCTTAACACAAACTTTGTAAAAAAAAAAAAGGGACAGTAGATACATCTAGCAACCTTTGTGGCATTACAGGTGTGGTAAGGAATCCCTAATGAAAGGGTTCCCAAGTCTCCACTAAAATAGTGGGTAAGGTGGGGAGGGAGGATGTGTGTATACAAGGGTGTTGTGTGTATACAAACAGAACAGAAAAGTTAGATGTTAAGATTAGCACTGATAATGAGGGACGGGCAAACCGCAGAGCAGCTATGTCTACCTCAAAGAAGTGCAAAAATTTATTAGGTAGAAAGTAATAATTACTGAAATTCTAATAAGGATAGGATTAAATAAAATATATTAGTTGAAAAATAAAAAGAATAAGTATTGAGGGACTGGCAAACTGTCAAACAGCTATGTCAACCTCAAAATAGAGTTAGGATACGTATAAGAGGATGAGGGGTTAGAAGGTAAAATAATAAGAGGGATGATAGGAAGGTGAAAGGGGAAAAAAGGGACCGGCAAACTGCAAAGCAGTCATGTCAACCTCTTGGAAAGTTAAAAATAAAGAAGAGAGAGGAAGAAAAAAAAAATATAATAATAAAATAAAATATATATAAAAAAAAAATAAATAAAAATAAAAATTTATAATAATAAAATGAAATAAAATAAATGATAGAAAGAGTGAAATAAAATAAAATAAATGAATAACAAAGGAGAGACAATCAAAGGAATTACTTCAATAACTTTAATGTGTAATTTTCTCTTCAAAAATAATTATAAGTAAAGAACATGTTTGTGAAAAATGAAAACGTAAAGTTGCTTCTTTGGTGAAGACAAATCATAATAAGCCAGATGGTTTGTTATGTTGTTTGATATTGACTTTGAAAATTTTTCTTTTCAATAAAAGTTGAAATTGACTCAGTAGTTTCTCCAGTAACTATAGCGACATCTGCAGAGTTACAAAAATTCTGAAATAATTTTAAAAATTGGATAATACTTTAAATTATCGGATAAGATACAAGATTAGAATTAAGTAAAGGAAAATGTCACATGTAAGCTCCCATAAAAAAAAAGGGGGGGGAAGGGGGGTGAAAGAAATGTACAGGATAAGAACTTTCATGATGAAACTGTTATAAGTAGTATAACTTGAATTATCACAAAAATGTAATTGAAAGAGAATTTAAATGGTTTGTTGTTAGTCGCTCTTTTGTGTTCGCTGACATTAATAATAATTTATTATAAGGAATACAACTTGTAATTTTTTAAAAGATATTTTTTCGAAAGAGAATTTAAAAAGGTTAGTCATTAATTTTAGGTCGATCTTTTTTGTCCATTAAGGTAAAGCCATTCTTCAGAGTGCAGATCAAAGTAAAACCAGATGTGTGATTTGTTGTCCATGTTGTTGAGAAGAAAGTCTAGCTGGCGGGCACGTTTTTCTGCCTTTTTGTCAGTGGTCCAGTGTTGTGACGTCAGGATCCAGTGTGAAGTGAGGTGGGGTGAACAGCCATTGCCAATTAAAAATAAAAACAGTTTGAAAGTGTCCTTGTCGCTGATCGGTTTTTTCCAGAAAATTAACTTAAAATCTTGTGGCCAAACAGAAAGTGGATAAAAAGCGTCGCCGTTGAAAGAATTAAAAAGTTGAAGTCGTTGCTGGACAATTGATGCACGGGAGAGGTTGCGGAGGTGATGATGGTAAAAGTGGAGTGTAGAGTGGTTGTTATCCATAGTTGAAAGTAGTCTGTTAAGATAACAATAGAGGAGGGGGTGAAGTAGAGGGTGGGGATAGGAGTATAAGGATAGTATTTTGTAATTAACTATTAATTAGCGCCATAAGTTATGACAAAAATTGTCTTACTGTCATTACAGGAAAAAGGAAGCAGAAGAAGAATAGATAGAGTGTGAAGGAGAATGGGAATACCCGGGTATGGCAAAAAGAAGGATGCATCGACACCAAGGCTCCTGTAATGTTGTGAATCATCAGGGGCAAAGCACAACTGAGCGAGGATGTTTCTAGCCCGGCGCCGAGCCTTTGCCCGACATCCTCTGTGTCGAGTCCTTGAGGAGAAAAAAGGAAGAGAGGAGAGAAATGGCCGGGAGGTAGTCGAGAAGAGAGAGAGAGAAAAGAAGAAGAAGAAGAAGGAAAAAAAAAACACAAACAAATAAACTTTGAGCAGAACAATATACTCTCTTTGTATGTAAATAGAGTTGGAAAACGATAAATAAAAAAGAAATGAATTATAACGGTAAAGCGGTAAGCGCCAGTTGGGTAGTTTAAAGTAACAAATTAATTAAGCTAAAGTGACAATATCTTACCACGAAAACAAAGGGGTTTCTTCAAAAATGCCGGTAGTGAAAAAAGGTCAGTCCTGGAAATAAGGAGGCCCAAAATTAAAAACAATTATAAGGGATGAGGAGAATTTCCGTGGAGAAATACTTACGTCTGGGAAGAAATGGCTCCTCTAGGGTAAACGTAAGAAAAGAGTGAAAAATGCGGAACAAAATTCTGTCGTAACAAAAAAAAAAAAATTTTTGTCAAAACAAATTAAAATTGACGCCAGAATGACGCGAGCCAATGACGTACGAGAAAGGTGTCGCAATGATAGATGGGATAGCTGTCAACCTTTCGAAGGCTATGAGCGGCCATGAGGGTTGTTTATAAAGCGTAGAAATCTGTCTTCTCAAGGCCAGTTGTCGAAGTATTTATGGAGTGGCATTTATCGTAGTGTGCTGGGATGGATTTGTAGTAAGCAGCTTTTGCTCGGAGTTATATCGAAATCGGTGAGTCGGAACAACAATTTCAGTATGATCGATCGTTCTTCTTGTTAAGAAAACTGGAGTTGAGTTCAGGAGCTGAGTGCTGGTTGAGCTAGCAATCTGGTCGTTGGAGGTAAGGAATCGAAGTTAGGTATTCATAATATGATATATCGTTCTTTTTGTGATGACGATGAGTTTAGTAAAGAGTTGCTTGTGTGTGAGTCGTGTTTTACAAGGATAAAGATGGTAAAATTTCGCTAGACTGCATGCAAGGAGAGGAGTTTCAAAACAAGGAGAGTAAAAAGGGGGAGACGTGATACGATGCCACAGTGAAATAGGCAGTGACTACTTTTAAGATTAAACCATCTGGATAAATTTATTGATAAAGACCTAGTAAAAGAATGAGAATTATAATGCTAAAAAAGCTTGTGGTAGGGAATAGTGAAAAACGATTAAAATGTTAGGGTATTTACATAAAAATGGTAGTGTAGCTTTTTGGTGTAAGTAAAATATCTAGTAGAATGAATTCAAATTTGATTACTCACAAGTGTCAAGTAGAATGAATTAAAACTTGATTACATACAAGTGTCAAATTTAAAAATTATTAAAGCTTGAAGCTAGCATAATTCTATATTAAAGTAGTGCGAAAGTGTTCAATATGTCCATTGATGTCGCATAATGTCTAGGGTATAATACGTTAAATTTGTAGTGCTAAAACTATAACCGCATTAAAAGGCGAGAAACTATGTACATGGTGGTAGATGAAGAACCCATTGAAATGATATAAATAACCAGCAAAGATTTGGCGAAAGGAAAATTAGCTGCTGGTAGATATATGTTTTAAGTTGTAGAATTATTAAATAGGATTAATTTATGGTGTAACATTTTATTAGTAAGAAGGAGTGTGTGGAGTTTAGTAGAGTTGCAGTATGCTTTTGAGAGTTTCGGTATGTGTGGGTTGTGGTATTTGAGTAGAATGCTGTTGACCAGTTTGTCTGTTCGTTTGTCTTTGTTGTATAGAGTCTTGTAGTAAACAGTGGGTCTGGTAACGTTATTAGTCTGTTTGGTTTTCAGGCGTCGCTGGTGAGCAGTGCGTGTGATCCATGGAGGCAGTAAGTCTAAGTGTGAAAAGGTGGTGAATGAAGTTGTAGTCGTCTATTGTGGCTGAAAGTCTACTGTATCGTATAGTTTCAGTTTTAATGATACCAGCAAAAATGTGATGGGGATGGTTAGATGAAAAATGAGGATACATGTATTTATGGTGTGGTTTCTGATAGATCTGGGGATGCACTCTGTGGCATTTGATGGTGAAGTGGTTGAGTGACAAAGTGAGATCTAGGTAATGAGTGGTATGGTGATTCGATGTGAAAGTGAGAGGTATTTGTGGCGGGTAAGAGCTGCAGAGGTTAGAGATGATATTAGGTAAGTTAGTTTTGCTGGTTAGCATAAATCCATCATCTATATAACGGCAGAAAATAAAAATACTATTAGTAGGGCAGTTAGTATTGTTAAAAAAATGAAAATTCGCTTAGTAGGAGCACGAGGTCCGCAATTTGCCGGCTATGGTAGCTGCCCATAGCATCCCCTTTAATTTGCTGGTAGATGGTATTACCAGTCCTAAAATAGTTACGTTGGTTAATAAAATTATTGAGGTTAAGCAAATAATCCCTATAAAAATTAGGCAAATTAAGCAGTTTACAGCTCTTAATGATTGCTTGAGTGGTGTCATGGTATGAAATGTTTGTGTAAAGTGATGTGAAGTCAAAAGTTGTGACACATAAGTCGTACATGTTGGTAATTCGTAGTTTGTCTAATAAAAGCAGTAAGTCATATGAGTTGTAAATCAAAGGGCATGGTATGGTTCGTTCTTCAAAAAGGTTTTTCAGTTGTAAAATAATACTGTCTAGTTCAGTTCCCAGTAGACGTGAGGGGTTGGATGTTATCCAGCTGTGCGCAGTGATAATAGGTCTTTCAGTTAGTTTGTTCAGGTTGTCGTATGATGCAGGTTTGTCGAGTTTATGTACTTTAGGTAGTAGCTTCATGTAGGGTAGTTGTAGTTTGTCTTGTGGGGTGGGGTCCAACAGTCGCGAGTTGTCATGGTTTGTGATAATAGTTGAGAATCGTTTTTTGAGTTGGCCAAGTAGTGTGTGGGAGTTAGTGATGGTTTGTTTACAGTTAAAGTTGTCGATGCGTCTGTAGGTAGACAGGTCGGAGAGATGTCGTTTGTACTCGGTGGAGAACCATGAGGTGGGCACAAGAGCCCAACCCATGTTTTTGTCAGAAACTGTAAGTATGACGTCATTGTCGTTCTGTACGTTAGTAATGTAAGATGTGGTGTGTGGGAGGGTGTTACATAATTTAGGATAAATAATAGAACGTAATTGAGCAGGTTGTAAAAATTCTTTAGTGAAAGAAACAGTATTGTGAACATAGTCGATGAGGTCAAGGTTGAAGTGAGCCCGTGATTGTTCTTGTTGCAGTAAAGGAAGTGGATGCATCTGCTTGCGGTAAGGATGGAAACGGAGAAGTGATTTGGAAGTTTTAGATGAGTTGAGCTTGGTGGTGTGGTTTTTCTTGCGGATGAGGGAACAGAGGGCTGTGTTGACTTCAGATTCGATGTTTTTTTGGAGAGAAGAGATGCTTGGCGTGGTGGTGGTAGGGATAAAGTTAGTTCCTTTGTTGAGTAAAGAGATGGCATCAGGTGGCAGTGGTGTGGAAGTGAAGTTGTGAACTTTGTTTGATGAAGATAGTTTGATTTTTTCTGATGCAGTAATAGTGGCGCGTTGTGACTTTAGATTCTGTTCCATGATATGGGCGGTGTTAGAGGAGGAAAGGGTGTTTCTTGTCTGGAAAAGGTAGAGGAAGAGTCTGTGGGCATTGTTGATTTTGTTTAGTTGATGACGGAGTTGATGGCCTTTGTTGAGCTGATGTGATGACTTGAGGAAGGAGGTATGCTTGGAATGATAGGTTAGTTGGTTTTGTTTGATGGCTTTAATGCGCAGTTGCAGGTGGCTGTTATGGGAATTTAGAGTGGCGATGTCTTCTTGCAGGCTGGCTGGTGTCTGGTTTGAGGATGAAGTAGTTGATGTGGTGATGGTTGAGTTTTTATCTTTGAAAAATATGTTATGTAGTTGACATTGAAGTTGGAAGATAAGGGCAGAGTTACGTTCTTTTATTTTGTGCAGGTTGTGGGCTTGAAATAGGAGTTTCTTTTGTCTGAGGGATAGTTGCTTGGATTTAAGTGTAAACCATCTCCAGCCATTGTTGGTTTTTACAGCCAGTGATGGTTTGGCATTTTTGGGAGTTGTGGTTGTTCTCTTGTGCTTTATTTTGAGCTTGTATTTCTTCTTTTTTATCCTGTTTCGTTCTCTTTTCTTATTTACATTTTTAGGTTGGTTTTGTACTGTGTTGATGTGATTATTATGATCCATAGTGATCTGGAAAGAGGGGAAAAAGGATAGCGAAAAAAAAGGAGAGTGAAATAATAAAAAGACTTAGAAAAAAAAATTTAAAAATTAAAAAATAAATAAAAATAAATAAATAAATAAAATAAAATTTTAAAATAGGTAGTAGGGTAATAACTGAAAAGGATAAGTAGTAATAATTAGTAAAAATAATAGCTGAAAAGAAAAAAGAAAAAATATTTAATTTATTAGTAAAATAAAAAATTAATAAAATAAAATAAATAAAATAGTAGGGTTGTGATGGAAGTATTTAAACACCATTTACCATTATAACATAACAAAAGTAAATCGCGCGCTCTGATTGGTCAGTTAGCCACTACCATTTGCCCGTGGGTGCACGCCAAGAAACTGAGCTAGCGCGGTAAAATTCAGGCAAATTCAACAAAAATAACCGTAAAATACACCGATAAAATGCACAGATGAAAAGTGGAAGTTGAAGAAAACACTAAGCTGTCGTTTTGAAGGAAAAAAGACAAAAGATCAAGCGACAAATTTGCCCTGGATGAATTAATCACTGTTTTCCTCGCGGCTAGAATCGGCTGTTCAAAGGAAAATCGAGCCAGCGAAGATTGAAGGTACATTTTGTATGTTTTTTATAGAAGAGAAAGTCTCTTTGAAATGTAAATTCATCAATTAGCATTGTTTTATTGACTTTTTGGTCAAGCTGATGCTAAATCCAAGCAAATATTTCAGGAAACACGCTCAAATTCGAGACAGCTTTGTTGTGAAGTTTTCATCGCATCTATTAAAAGTTTTAGTTGAGTTTAAACGGGCACATTACGCTGGAATAAGCGAATTTCATTTGAGTACAGAAACATTTGGGTTTCAAATAAATTTTTAAAAAAATGACTTCTGTGTGTATTATTTTGTTCCTCAGTGTTCATTCATAACAGTCGTTCAGAGATCGATCGAAAAACAACAGCTTCAGCGCCGGCTGTGTGTCGGCGAATTTCAGTTTTAACTTTCACTTTCATAGCTGGATTTCCCCAGGCAGATTTCGATACAAAGCTAGTTAATTTCTTTTTAAAATTAGTGTTACCTGTTATTCTAAAGGAATTACCTTCAAATTTTCTCATTTCTACTTTACGTATATTTCAAAAATTGCCACATAAAATAAGCTTGATAATTATTTCGTTTATTTAGTTTTAGCTTGTTTTTTAGAATCTTCTTAGTTGGTGTTTATAGTTGCAGCTATAGTTTTCCCTCAAAGTTTTCACCCTAATATTAAGAGAAAGTAGACATATGCTATTCAGAATAACAACGAAAAACGTTTTGCAATTTACCTGAAGACAGAGATCGGTTGATTCAGCGAAAGAAAAACTCAAAGGCAAGTTTTTGAAAAACATAGAACAAGATTTGTTTACGCGTAGGCAGGTGGCAGCATACTTGAACTCGTACCGACCGGACTCAACCGAAGGCAAATGGAAAATACTGTTTTTCTCTTTTGATTATGTTATAAAAGAAATGGTAAAAGTTGCAGCTGTGCAACCATGGAGTTATGGATGCACTTGGGAGGTTTGCTAAGCGCTCAAGAAGCTAGAGTCGCACGAGGCGATAGCCGAGTGCGACTCTTACGCTTCTTTCGTGCTTAGCAACCTCCCGCGTGCATCCATAACTCCATGGTTGCACGCTGCACGTTTACCATTTCTTAATTCAAAGAGTTGACTAGTACCCAAAATGGTACCCCTACTGTTAGGTACCCACCATAGCTTTGTAAAAAACAAAACAACAAAAACAAAAAACAAAACAAAAAACAAAAAAAGGGACAGTAGATATATCTAGCAACCTTTGTGGCATTACAGGTGTGGTATGGAATCCCTAATGAAAGGGTTCCCAAGTCTCCACTAAAATAGTGGGTAAGGTGGGGAGGGAGGATGCGTGTATACAAGGGTGTTGTGTGTATACAAACAGAACAGAAAAGTTAGATGTTAAGATTAGCACTGATAATGAGGGACGGGCAAACTGCAGAGCAGCTATGTCTACCTCAAAGAAGTGCAAAAATTTATTAGGTAGAAAGTAATAATTACTGAAATTCTAATAAGGATAGGATTAAATAAAATATATTAGTTGAAAAATAAAAAGAATAAGTATTGAGGGACTGGCAAACTGTCAAACAGCTATGTCAACCTCAAAATAGAGTTAGGATATGTATAAGAGGATGAGGGGTTAGAAGGTAAAATAATAAGAGGGATGATAGGAAGGTGAAAGGGGAAAAGAGGGACCCGCAAACTGCAAAGCAGTCATGTCAACCTCTTGGAAAGTTAAAAATAAAGAAGAGAGAGGAGGAAAAAAAAATATAATAATAAAATAAAATATATATAAAAAATAAATAAATAAATAAAAATTTATAATAATAAAATGAAATAAAATAAATGATAGAAAGAGTGAAATAAAATAAAATAAATGAATAATAAAGGAGAGACTCCAGGGTAAACAAAGGGAAAAAAAAACAATCAAAGGAATTACTTCAACAACTTTAATGTGTAATTTTCTCTTCAAAAATAATTATAAGTAAAAAACATGTTTGTGAAAAATGAAAACGTAAAGTTGCTTCTTTGGTGAAAACAAATCATAATAAGCCAGATGGTTTGTTAACTGATATAGTAAAAACACTATATGAGCTTCACATAATAATATTGTTGATGTATAGTCGTTCTTAAAAATTTATCGAATCATTGAAATAGTTAAGATGAGATTGAAATATATTCGTTCTTAAAAACTCAAGGAATTATTGACTTTGAAAATTTTTCTTTTCAATAAAAGTTGAAATTGACTCAGTAGTTTCTCCAGTAACTATAGCTACATCTGCAGAGTTACAAAAATTCTGAAATAATTTTAAAAATTGGATAATACTTTAAATTATCGGATAAGATACAAAATTAGAATTAAGTAAAGGAAAATGTCACATGTAAGCTCCCATAAAAAAGGGGGGGAAAGGGGTGAAAAGAAATGTACAGGATAAGAACTTTCATGATGAAACTGTTATAAGTAGTATAACTTGAATTATCACAAAAATGTAATTGAAAGAGAATTTAAATGGTTAGTTGTTAGTCGCTCTTTTGTGTTCGCTGACATTAATAATAATTTATTATAAGGAATACAACTTGTAATTTTTTAAAAGATATTTTTTAAAAAGAGAATTTAAAAAGGTTAGTCATTAATTGTTAGTCGATCTTTTAGTGCTATGCTGAAAACATCCAACGGATGACGTGACCCTTAACACAAACATGAGCAATAGGAGCCCGGCTGCCTGGTTAGCTACCCACCAACCAGGGCTTTGAAAAAAAACTGGTACGATTTTGCTGGCTGAAAATAAAACCCTGTCCCAGTTAACTTGTTCAGGTCAGTAGACGATAACATAGCCGTTCGGCTGGATTTGGCTGGTCTCTTTCATTTGCTAAGGGAACTGTGTCACCATAGTCTATTCCCTTATGTCTACAGCTTTTTATTACACCTCTTCAAGAAAGAATTTTGAAGGGGTAGGTCATGCCGGTGACGAATAGGTCAAATTTCTCCAAGCAAATAAATAAGTATCGCATTGCATTGTTTATAGCGGAGCTCCACGCGTGCGCGGAATTCAGTTTGCTTTCAGTATACGGCAAACGTTGAATGAATTGAGAAAGACATTTTATAAAGCATCCCTCGAGAGCTTTGCTTTTGGCCTGGCTAAATCTATACATTACCTGCTTTACACCACGCTCGATAGCTCTTTGCGTGAGAGTTTCAGGGCCCTCAACTTCCGTGGCCGTGTCCCCAGGTCCCCAACTGTTTGAATATATGTCAATTTTGTCGAGTTCATGGGACAGGGCAAATGCTTGTCTCGCATCGGTCAACCGGACATGGTCATCAAAAATGCGAATACCTTTAGAAAAAGAAAGGTGCACATACACTGTTAAAAATAACCTTCAATCATTTTTATCTTATTTTGGCACTGTATAATTGCGTTTGACGTGACTGCTGGTACTGGTTCTAACCTCAAACTCGACATCTAACCACTTATGTTTGAGCCATACTTTAATTTCATTTTCAATTTACGGTTATAAAATCTCTCTTCTCACACACCCTGCGTCCCTCATTTTCAACCACTATTTTAGTAGGGACTTGAAAACCCGTTCACTAGGTGATTCCATACTTCGACACATGTAATGCCCCCCCCCTTCGAGGGGGGTACTCCCATATATGAAAGAGATAGGCATGTCCTGCGCGATAGGGTTCTCCACCCTTAAATACGGTATCGTTTTTGCCCTTGTTAGCGTCGTGTTTCTGGTGTGATCCTTACATACGGTACCGTTATTATATCAGCCAAAATTCAGGTGCGTTAACGCCCAGGTAGAAGAGCAACAAATTGTCTTTTAAAACTGAACTATCCCTTATAGTAGTAAGAAGGCAATTTAATGAACGTTTGTGTGTTACCATTAATTTCTTAGTTTTTTTTCTCCCTTGAATAGGGTGTCAATTTTTGTCACCCTTAAATAGGGTCTGGGCTTAAGACCATGGGCGGCACGCACCTACCTAAAGTTGTCAGAATGCTAGGTGAATCTACTGTTATTTTTCTATTTTTATTAACTTTTATTATATTTTTTTGCACACAGCGAAGGTGTACAGTATTTTTGGCGGCTTGAACCTAACCGGGTATGTGCCGCTGAACAGGGTATGGTTTTCAGGGTCTTGAGTCTAGAACAGGGTATACCATTTCACTTTTTAGCGTCTTGAACAGGTTGTCTTTTTGGACCGGAAGCCTTTAAAAGAGTATGAAGGTTAGCGATGAGTGGCCTACATTTGGGGTACCGAGGTTTTTCCCAAAAAAGTATAAAACCATAATGTTAGTTTTAAAAAATACATAATACCGAAGGTGAAACTAAATGAACCAGGATCATGAAATAAGCCATCTACATCAAGCTCAAGCTTCCTACCCGGAACAGAGATGGGAGACGGTACAACCTCTCCAGTGCATGGGACAACCCTCTTCTTAAAACGCAGAACCGGAAGGGGGGCAAACCCCAGGGCCTCTCAACAATGAGGCGTCGCGAAATGTCGTCTGTTTTCTTAGTCTAAGCTTCTACGAGCAACACAAGCAAGAAGTTTAAAGATAAGGATTCGTTCCACTAATTTTGACTATTCATATTGGACATAATTTTAATGTAAAGTATGAGTTGTGTACTATGAAGAGATAAGCAAAACCTGCCAAAAAAAGGCCATATAAAAATGGTCAAGAAAGGGGATTTTTCAATCAAAAGAAACTCCAACAGGAGAGATGCGTTCCATAATACGTTTGCATCACTATTTTGAACATTTCTCTCTCTCTCTCTCTCTCATAATCTTACTATACACTGAAGAAAACATAAAAATAATTACCACATGCCGCTATAAAGATCGTCACAATGAATTATGACAACTTGACGTAAAAGAGAAATTCATCACAAAGATAAATCAAATCGAGGATTTCAACTGACCTCAACGAACTTCACGCAACCGAAAACGCCAAACAAGTTCCATATAAAAAGGCAATGGGCGTGCAAGGAATTGTGGTAAAAATCTGTTGCATTGTGGTTAAAAACTAGTGTACCTAATAGGTAAAAGAGTGCTGCCGGTGTTAGTTCAAACAACTTTATTGAATATCGTGTACCGTGTATGAAAAGAGCAGCAATACCTTATAATATTGCTCGCTCGCTTCACGCTCGATCGAGCGGCAGCAATGAACCTGTCTAAAATTAGGGTTCAAAGGGACAATTCCTGTTACAGTTATAGCGAAGCATCCAAAATAGCTCATGCACGTTATACGTGTCTATGTTTGGAACGACTGAGAGTAGACTGTGTTCTCTGACTTTCCCAAACGTAAGATATCTTTCCTGACAAAATAAAAGATTCTTCTAACAAACACTCATACCCTTCTGGACTGTGTCAGTGTACATTAAAGCTCTTAGAGGTCTTTGGTGAAACTGTCATTGAAGAAGGCAATCACATGACATCAACCTACATGTACCTGCAATTTGGGCGTTGTATGCAATTCCCACGCCACACAAATTGTTATTAGCCGCTCCAGCTATAACTCCAGCACAGTTGTTACCATGTCTAGGGAAAACAGACACAGACGTGTGCGTTTATGGCTTCCATGCACGCGTGAACGCCGGGATCGAAAACCGACATTTTCGAACACAATCTCGGTCCCGTTTCTCAAAAGTCTCTGTAATTAACGGGCCCGGAAAGTCTATGTTCCAATAGCTTTTCGGATAACACAATAAAACTGTTGGTTGACAAAACAAAATAAAATTGCTTGTAAGCTAGGATCCGCGCTCTTTTTTTATTTGATTTGAATATTTGATGTTGGGCACGGGACTTTCGAGAAACGGGCCCTTCGAGTAGAAAAAACAAATTCATTCATTAATTTTCTACAATGCACGTCTTAAATCTCTCACGGCCGCACAAAGCAAAGCAATTCTTTGAATCTATCAAGAATTCTCCCAACCCCTTGAGTGTTCTTACCTAAGGCTAGGCAATTACAGAAAAAAGGTTTTCTATTGCTTTATAAATTAACCACAAACAGGCTCCTTATGAATTGATCGCCTTCTCATTTATTATCTATCCTTTAAGCAAGCTTGACTGAACGCTTTAAGATAGGTTTTTTGCTCTTCCTAATCAGAGGGT